TGTATGTGTTTAGGGGCGTGGCTGTATGTGTTTAGGGGTGTGGCTGTATGTGTATAGGGGAGTGGCTGTATGTGTTTAGGGGAGTGGCTGCATGTGTATAGGGGAGTGGCTGTATGTGTTTAGGGGCGTGGCTGTATGTGTTTAGGGGTGTGGCTGTATGTGAATATGGGAGTGGCTGTATGTGTATAGGGGAGTGGTTGTATGTGTTTAGGGGCGTGGCTGTATGTGTTTAGGGGCGTGGCTGTATGTGTATATGGGAGTGGCTGTATGTGTATATGGGAGTGGCTGTATGTGTATATGGGAGTGGCTGTATGTGTTTAGGGGAGTGGCTGAATGTATAGGGGAGTGGCTGTATGTGTATAGGGGTGTGGCTGTATGTGTATAGGGGTGTGGCTGTATGTGTTTAGGGGCGTGGTTGAATGTGTTTAGGGGAGTGGCTGTATGTAAAATACAAATACAGAGTCCGAGCGTGTCACCCAAAGGAATCCCAAGTAACTCACAAAAACACCCGTGTGGCAACCTCTCTTATCCACACTTAAAACACAATAGAAATATATACATACATGATGGGTGGAGTATCTTGGTCCAGAATAACAGATTGTGGTGTAAATACAAATATAAATGGAATAGCTGTGAAAACACAATAGTAGACAGGCACCTAGTGCAATATTGTACAATATTAAAATGACACAATTCAAAGCCAATATGGTTGTACTCACAAGGAGAGAGACAGAAATTTATGGCTCAATCTAGGCGCCGTGGGATAATCAAAGGGATCCCACTCCCTTGGTATGTGTGGATGGTCCTCTGTTGTTTCCAATAAGGAATGTCCACATCAATTATTATGAAGAACTAAGTAACTTTTAATAATCAAACAAAAATAAAATATAAAGTATGAATAAAATAGCAATAAATAAGTCCTCTATGGGATGCAAAATAAGTCCTCTATGGGATGCAAGACGCGTTTTGCCTAAGTCCTAGGCTTCCTCAGTTGCAGTTGTTACCTTCTACTGGTGCTCTTTTATGTCCAGTGTGTTCGGTAAATTCCTCCACTTCGTGTTGGCGCGATGTTTCGATTTCCGGTCGCATGCCCGTGACGTACTTCCGGCTCACGGCTTCTGCATTTAATCACTGTTGGAACGCATATGCGTTCCACTCGTATACAAGTGTGTTTACTTCCGGTCACATACTTATGACGCACATCCTGTACGCCACTTCTTCATTCAAATCGTTTGTTGGAACGCATATGCGTTCCATTCCCATGAAAAACTTTATTATTCATTATCATACACTCAAAATATCGTAAAACAAAGGGAGATTGAACGTGTCATTCGTAAACAAATAGTAATACTACAATATTTAAAAAGAAAGTATCAATTCATCAATATTAAAAAGTATTAAAAAATAGAGATTAGATCATAGTAGTTTAAAATCTATACTTAGTATATGAGAAATATAAAAATATAAAAATATGCGAATATAAAAAATATATAAGCACCACATATACACTTCATATTTAAAATTTAAAATATAGCTAAGTATTAAGAAAATGGCATATTTCAAAATCTAAGTTAAGTCCATTTGGTATCAGGGTATTGAAATTAAAAATAAATTTCATCTCTTCTTTCCCTAACTTCTTTATATAATTGCCTCCCCTCCAGTCTTTTTGAACTGCTTTAATTGCACAGAAAAATAAACCTATAGGGTCTTGGTTATGAAAATTTTTAAAGTGCTGAGAGACAGAGTGTGTTTCAAGGCCTTTTTTAATGTTGCGAACGTGTTCTGCAATTCTTGTATTTAGGGGCCGTATTGTTCTTCCTATATACAGAAGATTACAGGGGCACTTTAAAATATATATAATGCCTTTGGAATGACAGGTAAGATGATCTCTTATTTTATATTGTTGTCCTATTATTTCACTTATATCTATCAAGTGTCTTTTTTAACTTTTTGTAACTCTGCATGGCAAGCAATCTCCACAGCCATAAAAACCTGTAAGGTTATCGATAAAGTGCTTTGGTTTTATTGTTTCTAAATTGCTTTTGACAAGAATATTTTTTAGATTGTTTGTACCTCTATATATCATCTTGGGTTTAGGGGGTAAAATATCTCTAAGTATGGGATCATCTCTTAGAATGTGCCAATGTTTGTTGATTACTTTTTGGATCTTTTTTGTATTTCTGTTGTATTTGCTGATAAACGGAATTTCTTGAAATTTAGTAGAAGTATCTCTGGGTTTGTACTTCAGGAGTTGGCTTCTATCTAGAAGTTTAACTTCTTCCATACTATTCTTTAAATCTCCTTTATCATAGCCCTTCTCTATGAATTGGTTCATTATGTATTCAGCTTGTTTTACATATTCTTCATCTTCTTTGCAGTTCCTCCTTATTCTTTTAAATTGCCCCTTTGGGGCATTAGTGAGCCAAGGGGTATGATGGCAGCTGGTCCAATCAATGTAGCTGTTTGTATCTACTGGTTTAAAGTAGTTTCTGGTAAAAATCATAGATTTTTGTATATAGATGTTTAAATCCAGAAAATTGATATCTGTATTGCTCACGTTGCTGGTCAATTTGATGCCCCAGTCATTGGTGTTGAGGAACTTGAGGAAATGGGTCAATTCGCAGCTGTTCCCCCGTCCAGATGAAGAATATGTCATCTATATATCTGCGATAGGACACCAAGTTCACCCTCCAGTCATGGTCACCTGAGATAAAGTGTTTCTCCCAGTAGGCCATGAATAAGTTAGCGTAACTGGGGGCGAACTTGGTGCCCATCGCAATACCACAAATTTGGAGATAAAATTGTTCTTGGAACCAAAAAAAATTATTGGTTAAAATAAGTGAGATTCCTTCCAAAATAAACTCTATTTGTTCTTTCTTAAAATCCGATTTCTCCAAAAAATATTGAACTGCTTCAAGACCTTTTTTGTGGGGGATGATGCTATATAATGAGCTAACATCGCATGTTACTAAAAGATATCCTTCCTGCCATTCGGTTTGTTCTAATATTTGGAGCATATGTATGGTGTCGTTGAGGTAATATGGAGTTTTCACCACCACAGGTTGCAGCATAACATCTATGTACTCTGATACCCGAGTAGATACCGAGTCAATGCCTGATATTATAGGCCTACCCGGTGGGTTTTGTTGATCTTTATATACCTTTGGTAGGTGGTAGAACACCGGTACTTTAGGATGACTAATAGATAAATATTTGGCTTCCTTTTCATTAATAATCTCTAATTGTCTTCCTTTCAAAATAAATGCCTCGAATTTTTTTTGTACCTCTCCCATAGGGTTAGAAGGTAGTTTTTGGTAAGTCAATGGATCTAAGAGAATTTTCTCTGCTTCTTTAACATAATTCTCTCTATCAAAAATAACTATACCCCCCTCCTTATCCGCTGGTTTGATGACAATGTTATTGTCCTTTCCCATCTCTTTCACTACTTTTTGTTCCTTTCGGGATAAGTTCTGCTGATAGCTATTGATTTTCTTTATTTTATTGACTTCTTTCATAACCACAATTTCAAAAGCCTTCATTTGGTCGGAAATCATATGTCGGGGGAAGAAAGTAGATTTTTCTTTAAGATCTGAATGTATGTAGTTATCTTCTTGTATAACGGTCAAAGGTTCATTCCTTCCGTGGAAGAATTTTTTCAGAGATAATCTTCTAATAAAATGGTTAAGGTCAATAAAAAAATCAAATTGATTAAAATCTGAAGTGGGTGCAAATTTAAGACCTTTTCTAAGAATTTGTTTCTGTTCTATAGAAAGATCCTTTTGAGTTAAATTAAAAATTCCTTTTATATTCGTTTCCTGTTCCGTTTCTCCCTGTAAGCTAAATCTTCTTCCTCTTCTTCTTCCTCGTCTTCTTCTATTATTCTCTGTCTCTTCCCGGGAGACTCTTGAGGAAGTGTTTTTTGGGACCACTGTAATCTGTTGATAGTTGGGTCCTTCCGAAAAAACGAAGAGGATGATTTTTCCACTGGAGTTACATTAGATCTTTGTCGTACATGATGTCTCCCAGTAGTGGTTATTGATTCTAAAGCTTGTGGTCTCCTATTTTCAGTAGGTTTTTCTCCATCATTAATAGTGCGTTCTCTTGGTATATCGCCCTTAACTACTGAACTATAACTTCTTTTGTCATTTTTATATATGTGGTTGTTTTGTCTTTGAGTGTTTGATTCCCAATAGGTATTTTTGTACTGTGGGATTGATTTCTCTCTATGATCTCTCATCCTTTTATTATGTTGAGGTATATACGTATCAGGATAAGGGTTCTGTCTTACATTGTCCTTCCTATTCCTATATGGACTTCTTTCTCGTATTCTCCTACCTTTATTTGGTTTTCTCACATTGCCTGTTTTATAATCATTGACATCTCTAAGGTATTTACTCTTTTTAATTTCTATGACCGTATTTTCTATTTTATCTACTTTTATTCTAATCTCTTTAACAATATTGTTAAAAATTTCCGGGCTAGTATTTTCAATGAGATTCTCTTTCCATTTAATAATATCTTCATTTAGTTTGGGCAAATTTTCTTCCCTCCTAGCCACAATATAGCCCATCAGGCTGAATGAAAAACCATCTAACATTTGGTTCCAGCCTGTCATAAAGTGTGGATCGTCTCTATCTGAGGTTGGGTCTTTTGTAAATCTAACAACTGCAACTGAGGAAGCCTAGGACTTAGGCGAAACGCGTCTTGCATCCCATAGAGGACTTATTTTGCATCCCATAGAGGACTTATTTATTGCTGCTATTTTATTCATACTTTATATTTTATTTTTGTTTGATTATTAAAAGTTACTTAGTTCTTCATAATAATTGATGTGGACATTCCTTATTGGAAACAACAGAGGACCATCCACACATACCAAGGGAGTGGGATCCCTTTGATT